CAGCCCCCAGCCGGCGGGCGCTGCAGGAAGGGGCAGGGCAGGGTTTTCGGGAAGGCACCTTTGAAAGAGCTGTGATCTAGTTACAGAGCTGCCTGCTGCCTCATTCCAGTAGGCTTCCTTGCATGCAGGAAGGAACGCATGCTCATCTCCAGCCTCAGAGGGGCAAAGCAAAAAAACAACATGCAGTATACTTTGTACAACAGCCCCCCGGAAAACTTTAGCCTATAGCCACAGCACCGTATCGCTCTCTGAAAATCATACTTAAAGCATCATTTACCCGCTATTTCAGTTCTTAATATCAAAGGGAGGTACATTCCGCATAGATGGTTTATCTTCAAGCAAAATACGTTCTAGGTTCAAGAATACTGTTTGCTGGAAAATCCCAGATTATCGGTATATGTTGACAGCAGATTGCATGCACTTGCTGTTATCTTTTGAGTACGGAGCTGTCTACGTACAGAGTGCATACACATACACAAATACGTGTGTGTGTATACATAGGTATGTATAGATGTGTATCTGCATCTTTTCCATACTTGCATGGATTCACTCCTCCTGATAAGATTATTATTTTATCACTGAGCAAGGAAAAAGTATTGGATTCTTGGAAAAAATACTGTATCACCCTTGCCTGTTTTATGCTGCGACCTGCCCCTGGAAGATTTCCTAAGCCAGCGCTCGATCTTAAAATGACCGTCTCTGCCTGACTGCCTTCGGTAGACTCCCCTGCATCCCTCGCCGGAGGCTACTGTGTTCACCACCAAAACCGTTTCCTAGATTTACACCTACTTATGCTAGCAAATTGGTCTTGAAAATCCAATATCCAGTCAAAGAGCTGCCGTGACCAAACGTGCACAAGTTAAACGCTGACTTTCCAGCGTTCTCGGGCTACAGCTCTGTTTTTTTGACATCACTTTTCATTTCAAAAGCTGAATTAGCTACCAACTGTAAAACCTCTTCTCTATCACGTAGGCTTCTGGTTTTGGTTAATACTGCATAAGCTTGTGTATTTTTAACTTGATATGACAGTTTATGGACTATGTAGTTTTTTTCCATCTCCCTGCCATCTCTGCATACAGATTTTTTTCTCGTTTATTTGGATCTCAGCTCATTATTTAAGTGTTTTAACACGATATCGGTGCCAAAGGTAACTTGGCAATCGGATGACGTCTCATAGCAAGCACACTTCCAAAATAGTATAGGAAGGGAAGGCGGGAGAGGGAGGAAGCGGTAAACTTGCTAGAAACCCCTCTCCAGCTGCAGTGTTTGCCGCTATAGCAGGCGGGGAAACTGTGGTGCTTCCACCTCATTTCCAGTTTCCTGCCTGACCTTACGCTGTGCTTACAGTAACGCTGGAGCAGCATCTTGTTTGGAAACGGTTACTCGCGAGGAGCGCGTGTGCGTTTGTTACCCCTTAGAGCGCCCCGTACGGATGCATCCTCTAGCGAGTAAAGCTTGCTAAGCTGGAAGAAGAGCTTATTTGCCTCTGCAGGCTGAGACACTAAGGGCAGATCTTTTGGTGGGGAAGCTGCACACTAGAGGTGCAGCGCTCAGCACCAGCTGAAGATCCCTTATGTTTCTGTGCTCCTTTAAAAAATAAAAAGGAGATGAGCTCTTTTAAAGAATGATCTGCTGCCTCAGGGTTAACAGGAAAAACTCACTGGTCCACTCATGACTGAAAACACTTGGGGGTGTGCTTAATTTTTATAGAAAGAAGTGGAAAAGTTAGTTTCTAGAAATATTTAAAGGCCAAATTATGCCTAAATTAGACAGAGGTGACGTGGGAAGAGATGGGGGAAAGCCCTTTCATCGTGCATAGCTACAAGGCAAGCGGGAGGAGGGACGGGCTGGGCGGCAGCAGAGCACGTCCTAGCGGTCCTGCCTTGAGGGGCCCGAAGGAGGAGCCGGGGGTTTCAGCCGCCCAAGGGAGGGCCGGG